GGGGGCAGGGGTGTGGATAGGGGTTGGGGCGGTCAGAGGGCGGGGAACAGTGGGGTTGAATGGGGGCAGGGGTACCGGGGGGGCAGTCAGGAAGGAGAGGGGGGGTTGGATGGGGGAGCGGGGGGCAGTCAGGGGCAGGAGTTCCAGGGGTGGTCAGGGGACAGGGAGCGGGGGGGGGTGAGGAGTCCCAGGGGGGCTGCCAGGGGGTGAGAAGTGGGGGGGTCAGATAGGGGAAGGGGGCTGGCCCACGCCTGGCTGTTCAGGGAGGCCCTCCATACAATTTCGGAAACCCGATGTGGCCCTCAGGCCAAAAAGTTTGCCTGCCCCTGATGTAGACATATTACATTTTTTCCCTCACATTAATTCTAGGATGTAGTCTAGCTCAACTGGTAAAGGAAAGGATGTAGAGATAACATGTCATGCATCACAACAGAGTTGGAATCTCTTCCATTTTTGAATGTATCTGTGGTTAGTAATTATTTTTCTGCTATGTAACAGAATTTCCTTCACATCCTCAGAACCTAACCTTTGGAACCATCAAGGAGCCACGCTTTGATACAGAGAACTTGCAGATTTGGGTGATTGATCTGACCCGCTTCTTGAGAAAGAAAATAAGGAACAGGATGGAGAGTGATTGGCAGACACACCGCCGTCTGAAAAAGGTATGGAAACCATGTTTTTCTTGGCCACATTGGAACGATAAGAATAACACTGGCCTATTCTTTCTTTATCTTGAGTATCACTTTGGATAGTAGTGGAATTGGTGGAAACACATATAAGAGATGTCTGTTCCATCTGAGGAGAAAAGCATCCCTGAGAGACTAGTGACCCAAGCCTGTTCTGGAGCAGAATTGAGGGAATTTCTTGTTCTTGGCTGTGGCAAACAGGTCTATCTATACTCTTTCTGATCCAATGGGAGATGTTCAATAAAGGCATTTAAATTGGAATAATTGATGTGGTTATATTTTGCCATGAGGGCTTGATAGTTAGCAACCCTAAATTGTAGGGTTGCAGAAGAATATGAATTACATCCAAGTAAATCCAGTCATTTCCAGTCCTTGTCATATGGTGTCATTTTAGCATAGTGCTGTCTGTTATGTTCCTTAGCAGCGTCAACAACCAGTGAATTTGTGGATGGGTGAGAAAACAAAAAGTCCATGTCTTTAAAGGGCACATAATATTTCTTGTCTGTCCTTTTGCACATCAGGGGTATTTGGCCGGTGTCTGCCATATAGTTTTCACTGGATCAAGCAGCGCCTCGTTTATGGGGAGTGTAATTATGGCTGATGACAACGTCTGCAGGATGTCAAATAGTTTCTGCTGTGACTCTTTGACTTCTTAAGTGGGATTTGAAGGGAATCCACTGCCCTCTTAAAGAGGTCTTGAAACTGCTTGAAGTCGCCTGCTTTTGTTGGTGGGGGAGGCATGGCTGCCTT